TTAGCTGGGCCAGTGTGTGTTGTGATTGGCAGCACTCGGCGCCTAAAATGAACAAAATGACTCGGAAAAAAGATTAGTTCATTTTGCTGAATGAGACTCAAAGGTCCGAGTCGGTAAAATGATCCGAACTTCCCATCACTACATGGTTCCTGTATCAAATGAAGGCCTGCCTTCTGAAATACAAAATGTGCTGTGATTGGTTAGCTGGGCCAGTTGTGTGTTGTAATTGGTTAGCTGGGCCAGTGTGTGTTGTGATTGGCAGCACTCGGCGCCTAAAATGAACAAAATGACTCGGAAAAAAGATTAGTTCATTTTGCTGAATGAGACTCAAAGGTCCGAGTCGGTAAAATGATCCGAACTTCCCATCACTACATGGTTCCTGTATCAAATGAAGGCCTGCCTTCTGAAATACAAAATGTGCTGTGATTGGTTAGCTGGGCCAGTTGTGTGTTGTAATTGGTTAGCTGGGCCAGTGTGTGCTGTGATTGGTTAGCTGGGCCAGTTGTGTGTTGTGATTGGCAGCACTCGGTGCCTGGTCGGGAAATATCATGCCCCTTACCATAGCCGCCTGCGAGCTTCAGTGTAAATATTGCATCAATATCAAATCAATTTGAGCGTGATTTAAACCCGGATGATTGTAACCACTCTAAGTTCGTCTGCCTTGGGAAAGCTAGCGTGTCTCTGACATAGTGATAACACTCGTTGCCTTCTCTAGTGCAGCTCAACCAGGTCTCGTCTCATTCGTCAATATTTGTGATATCACAAATCCCGGAAAATATGCGTTGTAGTCCAAACGAGTCGTTCGTTGTAGTTTTTGAAAAGTGATTTCTGTTAAATAAAATATCTCCTTTTGAATGGGACTTTGAGCTTTGTAACTTTGCAGATCTTTTTTATGCTCAAACAGCAACATTACAGACTAACTAAAGTGGAAAAAGTGAAAACGCATAATAGCACCCCTTTAATGGTAATGTTGCAACCAAACTAGTAAGTTCTTGTCCAAATGAGAAATGATACACTGCATACGTCTAGAGGATAATTATGTGTTTGAACTACATGGCAACAGAAGGTTCTGAAATGACATTAAAGAGAGGGAAACACAGCTGGAGGACATTCATAGAGGATATCGCTAAAGTCTGAAAAGCTTTTGATTATATTTTCTTTCATGAATAACAATTTCAAGATGCATAGAAGACAGCTAATCAAACTACTTCTGCTTTAAACATGATATTGATCTTCTGAAGACAATTTGGTTTTTTGTTTGTTTGGTCTCAAAGTCCAATTCTTCTTGTGCTGTGATTATTGATTCTGCACTTAATGACCGTAGCTTGATGTGAACAACACAGAGGAGAAGCCATCTGGCAGTTAAGATTGCATTATGGTTTTATACATTATAGTAACTTGATCAGAAAAATAAGTTTTTGTTGTTGTTTGTTTTAAATATGTGTCAAGGTAAAGACAACACTCCAAAGTAAACATGGTGGTGAAAAATAAAATGCTAAAAGATTCTATTCCATAATGTGACTTAAAAGATTGCTGTGTATACATTTAATAATCTACAGTATGTTAAAAAAAAATTCCACAGTGTAACTAAAAATCTATTTTCGTACAACAGTAGCATCATATAAACATGGACAAGACATTTCCCCAAAATGCAGATCTTCATTACAAAACAAAGGGAATTCATTCTAAAGAGAGAAAATCTATAAATATTAAGATCTCCTATACTGGTGGATCAGTCATGGGGATCCTGTTCCCATACCAACAATGGGAGACAAACTGAGCAACATGAATAGAATTCTAAAGATGTAAGTGACCAGATCATGCTTGAAAAGCCATGAAGCAAACCAAGCCATACTTCCCTCAGTCAGTTTAAGTGATGACTAATCAAATTTCAAATTTGAAATTTGAAATAAAAAGAGGACATATAACAAATAAATGAATGAATGCATGAATAAATAAAGAATTCAAATTATTATATTTGTATTATATGCATTAAAAATAGACAAATATTCCCTATTAAATTCTTAAGACATTTAAAGGCAGAAACACTCTCCTTTCATGAGAAGCATAGTAAAATATGATGAATTCATATTTTCACCAAAACCACATTACTCAGAAGCTGATACTCTATGACAGTTCGTTTAAAAGGGAACGGCTTAAAATGATGCAAAACAAAGCATCAGCACTCTAAAGGCTGATACCTTTTCGTCCTGCCACGGAACAGTGTCGCAGCTCGTCAGTGTCGCTAGGATGCCAATCAAAGCCGACAGACTCGTGATCCAGCGTCGCTCGGCCATCTCCTCCGTTCTGTCCGCACGACGCTCTCCCACTCCCACACTGACTCCAGACAACTCGGATCATGTGAGAAAACCATTTACAAATCCTACTATGGCGACTACCTGACTCATGAATATTAATAACGTTCCGTGACGCTCGGCAAACTGATTTGCTGAAAGACAGACATTGCTAAATTGAGGGCTTGGCTCATGAATATTAACTACTTAAAGGGGTCATATGATGGGATTAAAATTTTTCCTTTCTCTTTGGAGTTACAAGCTCTTGGTGCATAAAGAAGATCTGTAAAGTTGCCAAGACTAAAGTCTCAAATCCAAAGAGATATTCTTTATAAACGTTAAGAGTCAGCCACACCTACTTAAAACGGCTCGTTCTAACACGCCCCCACATATCTACCTCACTATGTGGAAATATTAGCATAATGCTGCCCAAATGTGCACGCAAAGAAAGAAGGCGTGGTTTCAGGAACAGCAGTCGTGTTGATGCAGCATGTCAGTGAGACGCTGTGATTCAGTGCGAAAGCAAAAGCACTTTATTTGGCCTTCTGGAAGTAGATGCAATTAGGAATCATTGGTTAAGATTTATTTACAACAGAACAGCACAACCCAGATGTTCAAATTTGTGCAACACATTTTATGAACCTAGAAGAGTACAAGGCTGGCTGTGCACAAAGGCTTTTTCAAAAATAAAAAAAAAAAAGGTCAATTCCCACTTTGCTATGACAATCTGGCGCTTCTGAATCAGCGACTGTAAGTATGTTTTGTTATTAGTTTAAGTATTTGCTATTGACTGTTCGAATGCAGAGTTTTGCGCAGCGCAGAGTAACGCGTCGTGTGTGTGTGTGTGTGTGTGGTTTCTCCGGGAATTGGCTGTAATCACATCAGTTCCGCTCATGAATGCTTCTTTATCAGATTAAATGAAGATGCCATCGAAACTTTCTGAAGACAGTAATTTCCCTTCAGAGATACGTTCATATAAAACACCCTCGACTTGTTTTGATTTTGAAATGTGCAGTGCTCATGTTTATTCAACGATGTCAAAAGCCACAAATAAATCAATGTATGGGAAACACTGGTAATGTATATCGAAATATCGGAAATGTGTTTAAAAATCATATCACCATTATTGAAAAAATATTATATCACGATACATATTGATATTGAATTGAATCCAGCCCTACCTTAAATAAACAAATAATTTAGATAATAGCCTACTGAGTTGCTTTCTGTGTACTAATGGGTACCACTGATATTCAAAATAAATGAAATTATAAAATACAAACTATATATATATACAGTGGGTACGGAAAGTATTCAGACCCCCTTAAATTTTTCACTCTTTGTTATATTGCAGCCATTTGCTAAAATCATCAAGTAAATTTTTTTTCCTCATTAATGTACACACAGCACACCATATTGACAGAAAAACACAGAATTGTTGACATTTTTGCAGATTTATTAAAAAAGAAAAACTGAAATATCACATGGTCCTAAGTATTCAGACCCTTTGCTCAGTATTTAGTAGAAGCACCCTTTTGATCGAATACAGCCATGAGTCTTTTTGGGAAAGAGGCAACAAGTTTTTCACACCTGGATTTGGGAATCCTCTGCCATTCCTCCTTGCAGAGCCTCTCCAGTTCTGTCAGGTTGGATAGTAAACGTTGGTGGACAGCCATTTTTAGGTCTCTCCAGAGATGCTCAATTGAGTTTAAGTCAGGGCTCTGGCTGGGCAATTCAAGAACAGTCACAGAGTTGTTGTGAAGCCACTCCTTCGTTATTTTAGCTGTGTACTTAGGGTCATTGTCTTGTTGGAAGGTAAACCTTCGGCCCAGTCTGAGGTCCTGAGCACTCTGGAGAAGGTTTTCATCCAGGATATCCCTGTACTTGGCCGCATTCATCTTTCCCTCAATTGCAACCAGTCGTCCTGTCCCTGCAGCTGAAAAACACCCCCACAGCATGATGCTGCCACCACCATGACTTGTTGGGTCTTTCCCAAAAAGACTCATGGCTGTATTCGATCAAAAGGGTGCTTCTACTAAATATTGAGCAAAGGGTCTGAATACTTAGGACCATGTGATATTTCAGTTTTTCTTTTTTAATAAATCTGCAAAAATGTCAACAATTCTGTGTTTTTCTGTCAATATGGGGTGCTGTGTGTACATTAATGAGGAAAAAAATTAACTTAAATGATTTTAGCAAATGGCTGCAATATAACAAAGAGTGAAAAATTTAAGGGGGTCTGAATACTTTCCGTACCCACTGTATATATATATATATATACATACAGGTAAGTTTAAGGCTAGTAGATTTCTAGATATGAAAGCACAAAGGAATTCGAATCTGTTCTTGTTGTTTATTTCAGTGAAAGTGCCATAAATATTAAGTTACAATACTTATTATTTTATCTTCAAAACTGCATTTTTAAAAAAAGAATCTATTATGACGGTGATGCGTTGAACACCCTGTTCTGATGACGCAGGAGTTGCAACTATGGCAGCTGAGAAGGCCATTCTTTGTGTTCTTTTTGAAGAATTTTCAGAGCCTGATGAAATCAGTATAAATACGTGTTTAATACGACAAAATACGCTCGATGTTACAGTCACTGCCCTTGCCGTCCAGAATAAAAGAGAATATCCCAATCAAATTAAGGGATTTGTGGAAACTGTGGTTCCTAATTATTGTGATCCAACATTTGCCTCGCATTTCAGGATGAAAAGACAAACATTTCAGGTGAAGGATAATCCACTTTTTACCTCCGAGACTGTGTTATGATCTATATGACCTTATTATTTTTAATATAGTATAGGCTTATCATTATTGCTGATCACTGTTGTTGTGCTATGATATTGTAATATTTACCATTATATAATCAGAGCAGTATAGAACAGTTTATGAAAATGTCATTCCATAATACAATAGCAAAATATATAAATATGTATAGTATTTTTATGTTTCATTAATCAGTATTTAGCTAGGGTGACCATACGTGCCATTTTCCCAGGAAAATTTCCCCTTTTATTCAGCAAGGATGTGTTAAATTGATAATAAAGACTTATATCGTTAGAAAAGATTTATATTTTAAATAATCCTGAAAAAAGTATCACAGGTTCCAAAAAAAAAATATTAGGCAGCACAACTGTTTTCAACGTTGATAATAAATCAGCATTTTAGAATGATTTCTGAAGGATCGTGTGACACTTTAGACTGGAGTAATGATGCTGAAAAATCAGCTTTGCATCATAGAAATAAATTATGTTTTAAAGTATATTAAAATAGAAAACCGTTATTTTAAATGGTAATACTATTTTATAATATTACTGTTTTTGCTGTATTTTTGGTCAAATAAATGCAGCCATGATGAACAAAGAAGAGACTTCTTTGAAACACATAAAAAATCTTACTGATCCCAAACTTTTGAACAGCGGTGTATAAGAACCCTTCTCAGAGCAGAGCATTTCTTGTCTGAAAACTGAAAAAGTGCCTCTCTCTCTCTCTCTCTCTCTCTCTCTCTCTCTCTCTCTCTCTCTCTTTTTTTTTCAGGGGAACTCAATATTGACAGAGTTACAGGAGAACGTTACCAATCTTTCACCGCTGAAATCAAACACAACGCTGAACAATGACGACATCATGAGATATAGCAGACAGCTTCTCCTGCCAGAACTGGGTGTTAAAGGTTCAGAAAATACTTTGGTTTTAACAGTAGTTATGAAACTTTTCTTTTCTTAATGCATTGTAAAAATACATTTCTTTCTCCACAGGTCAGGTTGCCATAAGTAATCTATCCGTTCTGGTTGTGGGATGTGGAGGTTTAGGTTGTCCTGTTGCACAGTATCTCGCTGCAGCTGGAGTAGGTAAAGTGACCGTGTGTGTGTTTAATGTGTACATAATCCTGTTAAATATATGAGTTTATCTGTAAGTGTGATCTCACTGGCTGTTTGTGGCTGCACAGCTAGTTTAAATGTCATGTACACTATTATTGAAAAGTTTGGGGTCAGTACGATCAGTAATAATAATAATGCTATGCATTTTGAAAGGATGAATTACATTAAAATGGGACAGTAAATACTTTCATATTGTTACAAAAGTTTTCCATTCAAATAAAAGCTGTTCTTTTTAACTTTCTATTCATCAAATAATTCTGAAAAAAATAAATAAAAATAAAATGGTTCACGGTTTCCACCAGATTATTAAGCAGCAAAAACTGTTTTCAACATTGATAATAATCAGGAACATTTCTTGAGCATCAAATCAGCATATGATTTCTGAAGGATCATGTGACACTAACTAACTAATGTGTGAAAGTTGTTAATGCAGTGTGTGTTTTCAGGATGTTTGGGTCTTTTGGACTATGATGTGGTGGAACTGAGTAACCTGCACAGACAGGTGCTTCATACAGAACTGACTCAAGGCCAGCCTAAAGCCCTGTCTGCTGCCCAGGCCATCAGCAGGTACTGTCATCTTCACTCACAAAATCCCATTAAAGGAGAAGTAAACGAATGAGAATTGACTGGTAGTGATCTCTTCCAGGTTGAACTCCATGGTTCAGTGTGTTCCATATCACCTCCAGCTCTCCCGAGAGAATGCCATACAACTCATTCAACAGTATCCACTCTCACTAATTGCTACTGATCAGTTAATCTTGAACTTTTCATGGTCCTGTACAGTGCAAAACAGATTTATTTGTCACCTTGATTTTGTATCCTCATGTATGACTATCTATCTGCACACTAACAAACATATCTGTACATTTATCTAAACAATTAAATTTTTTCCTATACTTCTATTTCTGTATATAGTACATTATTCAAATTTTTTTTTATTATATATATATATTTTTATTATATTAGTTTTATATTACATCCCTACTGTGTTATTCCTATGTATGTCTACACTATCATGTATGTCTGCACTATGTTTGTACTTTCTTTTACACTGGAAGCTCCTGTCATTAAGTCAAATTCCTTGTGTGTGTAAACATACTTGGTAATAAAGCTCTTCTGATTCTGATTCTGATTCTGATTATTTTGTTGCATAATTATAGAATTATTAAATTATTGCATAATTTCAGCCAGATTCTATTCAAA